TAAATTAATAAGTCATTAAATTAATATTTTTTCCATGTTTTCAAAAGAAGCTTTTGTTACCGATCTTTTAATTTTGTTGTATCACTTATGTGTACAAAATTATAAAAATGCATCTATTTCCATTGTTGATTTTGAATTGTTTTTATCATAGGGATTAAAATGTAACAATTTGTATATTTTCAGGATCAAAATAGAACAATTAAAATATTGGAGATTAAGGTATAACACAACGTACACTTTGAGTATTATTTGTGTAATTAACCCAAATAAATATAAAGTGTATAAAAATAATTAAAATGTATATTAAACTTTTAAATTTTTTGTAAGTAAAACGTAAAAAGTCTATGGGTAAATTACACTGAGATCCCCTGAAGTTTATAGTTATTACAGTTTTTTTTCTCACTTTTTGAAAATTACATCTCCTTCCTTGAGGTTTAAAGTTTCATTACAGATTTTTCCTTCAGCAATTTAATTTTTTTAAATAGTATCAATTTTGCCCTCACTGGGTAAATTACATTGACACCCCTCACATTTTAGAAATTACAATCCCCTCCCTAAGGTTTAAAGTAGCATTATAATTACCCCCTCAGTTAGTATTAGTTGGAAAAAAATTATTTGAAAAAAAAATAATTGAAAAAAATTTGTTAGTAAAATTTTTAAATTTCTGTTTAAAAACCAACGTAAATTCATTTTTTTGAATTTATGTTTTTTCCTCAAATTTACAAACTGAGACAATAATTTATAAACCAAAAAAATTATCAAGCAAGTTTTAATGATAGTTTTTAAAATTTTTGTAAATATAAATTGAAAACTGAAAACGAAATGGTTACCAAACAGGCTTTAGAGGGTAAAAATGTGGTAAAATTAACAAATAATTAAATAAGTTACCAATGTAAGAAATGACTTATTAAAAGATTCTTAGGGTATGTATAGTTTGATTTTTAGAATTTTTTTTAAAAAATTTAAAATTAATTTGGTTAAGAAATAAAAAATAAAAAATAATTATCATTTAAGGGTAAAAAATAATTATCATTTAAACTTTTTGGCAGGTTATATGCGTATGTATGGCTATTTCAATTTAATTTGTAAAAAATTATTTCTAACCACTCAAAAGATAAAAATTATATAAAAATGATAATTAATCTTTATTTTTTATTTCTTAACCAAATTAATTTTTAAATTTTAAAAAAAAATTCGAAAAATCAAATCATACATAGCCTAAGAATCTTTTGATAAGTTATTTTCTACGTTGGTAACTTATTTAATTATTTGTTAATTTTACGACATTTTTACCATTTGAAACCTGTTTCTCGCTGCCACCACCACCCGCTATCCACTACCCACCTGTCACCACCACCCACCACCACCACCGCTACCACCCACTCGCTACCACACACCACCCACCTGCCACCAGCTACCCAACACCCATCGTCACTACTTTCCACCACCGTCTTCTGCCGCCACTTGCCACCACTTGCCATTTTTCATTCTTTTTTATATTTTTAAATTTTTTTAAACATTTTGTCAATTACCAAACGCGTTTGTAGTTTATGTTTTTTTTAAAATAAACAAAAACCAGTTTATAAAATTTTTATAAATATAAACTGAAAACGTAAACGTTACCAAACACACCCTACTTATTGAACTTTTTTTTTTTCTACTTCTTCTTTACGTATAAAAAAAATAAAAAAAATAATGTGATCTAAATAAATTAGTAAGTTAATAAGTTAATTTTTTTTCCATGTTTTCAAAAGAGGTTTTTGTTACCAATCTTTTAATTTTGTTGTATCACTTAAGTGTACAAAATTATAAAAATGTATCTATTTTCATTGTTGATTTTGAATTGTTTTTATCATAGGGATTAAAATGTGACAATTTGTATATTTTCATGATCAAAATAGAACAATTAAAATATTGGAGATTAAAGCATAACACAACGTACACTTTGAGTATTATTTGTGTAATTAACCCAAATAAATATAAAGTGTATAAAAATAATTAGCATGTATATTAAACTTTTAAATTTTTTGCAAGTAAAACATAAAAAGTCTATGGGTAAATTACACTGAGATCCCCTTAAATTTATAGTTATTACAGTTTTTTTTCTCACCTTTTGAAAATTACATCTCCCTCCCTAAGGTTTAAAGTTTCATCACAGATTTCTCCCTCAGCAATTTAATTTTTTTAAATATCAATTTTGCCATCACTGGGTAAATTACATTGACACCCCTCACATTTTAGAAATTACAATCCCCTTCCTAAGGTTTAAAGTAGCATTACCAATTACCTCCTCAGTTAGTATTAGTTGGAAAAAAAATTATTTGAAAAAAAAATAATTGAAAAAAATTTGTTAGTAAATTTTTTAAATTTCTATTTAAAAACCAACATAAACTCATTTTTTTGAATTTATGTTTTTTCCTCAAATTTATAACTTGAGACAATAATTTATAAACTAAAAAAATTATCAAACAAGTTTTTATGATAGTTTTTAAATTTTTTGTAAATATAAATTGAAAACTGAAAATGAAATGGTTACCAAACAGGCTTTAGATGGTAAAAATGTCAGAAAATTAACAAATAATTAAATAGGTTACCAACGTAAGAAATGACTTATTAAAATATTCTTAGGCTATGTAGGGTTTGATTTTTAGAATTTTTTTTTTTTAAATTTAAAATTAATTTGGTTAAGAAATAAAATACAAAAAATAATTATCATTTAAACTTTTTTGGCAGGTTATATACATACTTATGGCTATTTTAATTTAATTTGTAAAAAATTATTTCTAACCACTCGAAAGATAAAAATTATATAAAAATGATAATTAATCTTTATTTTTTATTTCTTAACCAAATTAATTTTTAACTTTTAAAAAAAAATTCGAAAAATCAAACCATACATAGCCTAAGAATCTTTTGATAAGTTATTCTCTACGTTGGAACTTATTTAATTATTTGTTAATTTTATGATATTTTTACCATTTGAAACCTGTTTGGTAACTATTTCGTTTTCAGTTTTCAATTTATATTTACAAAATTTTTAAAAACAATAATAAAAACTGGTTTGATAATTTTTTTTTTGATTTATAAATGGTTGTCCCAGTTTATAAATTTGAAAAAAAAACGTAAATTCAATAAATGAGTTTACGTTGGTTTTTAAACAGAAATTTTAAAATTTTACTAATTTTTTTTTTTCCAAATAATTTTTTTTCCAAACAATTTTTTTTTTTCAATGAATTTTTTCCCCAACTAATACTAACTGAGGGGCAATTGGTAATGCTACTTTAAACCTTAAGGAGGGGATTGTAATTTTTAAAATGTGAGGGTATCAATGTAATTTACCCAGTGAGGGCAAAATTAGTATTTAAAAAAATTAAATTGCTGAGGGCGGAATCTGTAATTAAACTTTAAACTTTAGGGAGGGAGATATAATTTCAAAAAGGTGAAGAAGGGAATTGTAATAAACTTAAACCTCAGGGGGTGTTAGTGTAATTTATCCAAAGTCAATTTAGCCAGAATTGTACATAGAAAAATGTCAAGAATTTTAAATTTATTGCACATACTTAAAGTTAATAATAATACTAGAGACCTTAAAAGTTTTATCAAATTTTCTATTAAATGTCTTACATGAATGTAGGATCCACACACTGTGGGTCCCGTGTGGATCCCACACCATATAAGACATTTAATAAAAAATTTGGTAAAACTTTTGAGACTCTAGCATTATTTTAAAGTTAATGATGGAAGGTCACATCTTAAATGAATCTTGACCATTGACTATGAATACTTTTAAATAAATTTTTATTTTTTATTAATTGGAATGCAAATATTAGTGCTTAAAAACAAGGGGGTAGTTTGAAAAAATATTTACAAAGACATGTGGTAACTTTTTTATTTTCAGTTTTAATTTATATTTACAAAATTTTTAAAAATTATCTTAAAAACTTATTTGGTAACTTTTTAAGTTCATAAATAAGTTTTCTCAAATTAAAAACTAATACAAAAATCATAAACTCGAAAAAAGTATTTACATAAGGAAATGTGCAAGAAAAGCAAACGGAAGAAATAAATATGAGGTCAAGAGTTCAAATCCTAAGAGTAAGTAAAAATGGAAGGAAACAATTTTATTTTATTTTTCAAACTAAATGTGTTTACAATTTTTGTTTTTTCTAAAAATACACCAAAATACTTGTTTACAAACTTTTTATAAACATAAACGGCTAAAGGTTTCCACACACCACCTTAAGATTTTAATTATTATATTTATGAAGTATCACTTATATGTAATTTTTTTTTCTTACATCGAATTGTAATTCTCCTTAATTATAAACAATGTCTTAAGAGCAGTGATTAACAAAATTCATTATAAAAAGTGCCAATAATTTTTTTTCAACAACACTTCAAATTTAAATTTACATAAATTTATCATTGACCCAGAAAAATGAATTAGTGATTTAAATTCATTTTATTTATATTTTTCATATTTTATCAATTTAATTTTTATTATATAAACACTTTGGACATAAATGATGAGTTGATAAAAGGTTAGTTAATTGCAATTTTGATATTTTTTTGGGTATAGGTTGGCTATGATTATCATTTTTTTCATTTCACAAACATGGATTGTGGAGCTGCTAATTACATGATGATGGCACAATAAATTTTTTTAAAAATTACATGATGATGGATCACAAACAACGGATACCATACCACACCCAAAAAAATAAAAAATAAAAAATAAAAAAGGCAAAAATGAACATGAAAGGAGACTAGCTTTTACAAAGATATCACTGTTGATCAAAATCAACGGGGCATAGATGACACTGCATGAGTCTCATATTTTACAGTGCTGTAGTGGAGCAAAACTCTCATCCTCTATAAGATCTGTATCATCAAATCAGTGTAACTCTTCTGTGTATCATATCATCATCTCTTCTCTCTCTACTCTGTCTCTCTATCACTACTCTACCTCTTCGAGGGTTTCTTTTCATTTTTTTTTTCTTTTCTTTTTCGTTTCTTACGTTTTTTTTTTTTCCTTTTTTTTTTTTTTCAATTTTCATTTTTTTCCTTTCAAAATTTTCATTTTTTTCCCTTCGTTTCTCTTCCCCGCGCTTCAAATCTAACCCTAAATTTTGTTTCTCTCTCCTCCATAATCTCTGCAACTCTCTCTCTCTCTCTCTATATATCTTTCTCTCGCTCTCTCTATAGATATATATAGATATACATACACATATATACAAAGATGCAGCAGCAGAGGATGAAGCAGCAACAGGCTTTGATGCAGCAATCTCTCTACCATCCTGGTCTTTTGACCCCTCCTCAGGTTCTCTCTCTCTCTCTCTCTCTCTCTCTCTCTCTCTCTCTTTGTTTTTCGATTATTTGGATTGATAAATCTACTGTTGATTTTGTTACCTGTGGTGGGTAAGATCGAGTGTTATAGCATGAAAAGTTTGGCTTTTTCCTTTTTTATTTTTTTATTGGTTGGGTTTTTCTTTTGTTTGTTTGTTTGCCGAGAAAATGTAGGAATAAAGGAGACATTTGAACTTCCAAGTTTCAGTTTTTCATTTCTCAACCTACTTTAATGATGTCACTCAGCTGAAATTAGTTTCTTATTTTTTGGAAAACCTAACCTAAACCAGTTTTGCAATTATTTGTTTTAGGCAATTGAATTGGAGGGTGGGAATTTTTTTGATTGCCTTTTGAAACTGTGTTTGTGGCTTTGATTAATTTCCATAGTGACTTACATTTACCCATTTTAATTTTGAATGTGGTCCTGAGAGTAGATAATGTTCAGAGGATTTTTTGAGCATCAGTTAGATGGAATCTATCCAGTTTGTATTATTGGGTTTGAGTGTGTGTGATTCATTCGGGGATGATTGTTATGTTGGATAGAAGGTTTCACAAACTTTTGGTTAAGCATCTTATTCGGCTCTTGTTTTATTACTATAGAAGTCTGTAAACCTTGCAAAATTGTTAAGTTTTCATATTAATAAATTTCTTAGCATTTTCGGCACACGTATAACATTGGCAGCAGTTTCTTTGAGGCATATATTTTTAACTTATAATGCACGGTAACATCTTTGACATGCTTTTTTTGTTTTATTATTTATTTATGGTGACTACCAATATTAGTGGGTGGATTTAGTGTTTCTCTAGATTATTAATTGATGACTTGTGAGCAAGTATTCACCATTTATCAAGCCATTTTTTCCTTCCTTCTGTGCTTAGGAAAAGAAATAAACAAAGTGACTTAGAATGGGGCGTGAATAAATTAATTGAAGACTTGTGAGCTAGAATATTCGCCATTTATCTTCAAGGCCCCTTTTTTTCTTGCTTCTCTGGTCGTATGTTTTGAGTTAGTTTTTATTATGGTTAGAAAAGGAAATAAACAAAGTGACGTAGAAGTTTTTTGTTTTTTTTTGTTGTTTGGTTTGAAGAGGGCCATAGCCAAAACTAAGCATCTGGACCCAAGGGGACATGCCCCCTGTATATCCTTTGCAATCAATGCAGATAACGCCCGAGGGGCCACATCCGGAATCTCACGATAAACCGGACAGTAGAGATCATTTTTTGCCAGCAAATCTGCACCTTTGTTCACTTCCCTGCCAAATCAGTAGAAGTTTGAATAATGGGGCATGAATAAATTAATTAACGACTTGTGATCAAGCGCTCACCATTTATTTAGCCCCTTTTTGTTCTTGCTTCAGTGGTTATACGTTTTCAGTTAGTTTTTATTTTGATTAGAAAAAGAAATGAACTAAGTGACTTAGAACGGGGCATGAATAAATTTTGGATATGAATACGAAAAGATATATGTAGGGACGGATCCAGGATTTTAACTTTGGGGATTTCTAATGGAAAAAATTGTTGTAAAAGTTTAAAATACAATATCGATTTTTACCAACACAAAAAAGTGAATAATATTACTATTAACTGGATATTCTTTGTCAAAATAGTTCAGTACAAAAATATGATCATACAATTGGACATATTCTTTATTATGTGTTAACTTACAAAAAAAAAAAAAAAAAAAGTAACTATTACTATATGTCTCTATCTACTAAAGTTAGGCATCAAAAATGTTATGGTCGACATTTCTTTGTGATATAAAAAACATCTATGGTAGGCTTGACATCAAAACCTCAGGCAATGTCTTTCTTCAAATTGTGTATGCTTAAGTGTCTCCATGAGGTTTCCCCCAAGATGTGCTTAGTTTATCTCAGTTTTTTTTCCCTTCTTTTTTTTCTCTTTAAAGTATTATCATAGTGGGTGTAGATATTTTATTTTTGGGCCTTTTTCCCCTTCTTGTTTTTTTTACATTTTTATTTTGCAGATAGAACCTATCTTGAGTGGAAATCTGCCTCCTGGGTTTGATTCAAGTACATGCCGCAGTGTGTGAGTGCATACAGACAGTTTTCTTTTTTCCTTTTATTCATTTTGTTTACTCTTTTGAGTGTAACTTGTATCATTTTAGCATGGACAACGTAGTTGCTGCCTAGCTCAGCATGTTAACTTTGCATATCAGCAATATTTTACACTGGACACATGAAAAGAAATATTCTCTCTCTATCTCTCTCTCTTTGAGATGAGTATGCTTTCCCATATTTTCTGTCTCACAATTTTTTTAATGCTATGTGATCAACATATTCCTTAGTTCATCAGGTTTCTTATGTAAGTGCTGAGGAGTATCATTATTTTGACAATTTTTCAATCTATGAGATGATGCAGGTATGTCGGAAATGTTCACCCACAGGTTACAGATCCCCTTCTTCAGGAAGTTTTCTCTAGTACTGGTCCTATTGAAGGGTGCAAGCTCATTCGAAAGGACAAGGTGTGGTTTCATCACTCAACTAATCAGCCTTTTCTTAATGGATGGTCTATAATAGACTGTTCTATCTATTGAATGCTACCCTGCTAGGATAAATTCACTTGAGTTTTCTTTGTAGTAAATAAGCAGGAGTTCTCAGTTCCATATAGTCCATATTATGCCATTTGTTTATTTGTGACTTATTTTGTGGTTGTGGGATTGCATCTTATGAGTGTCTTCGCTATTGTTTCATTTTATGCAGTCATCATATGGTTTTGTGGACTACTTTGATCGTAGATCAGCTGCCCTTGCTATCGTGACTCTTAATGGGAGGCATCTGTGAGTAGAAATTTTATAATTTTCTCTGTATATATTTTCTGTTTTTGTTTATTAACATGTAGTTTGCAGGTTTGGGCAGCCTATTAAGGTTAACTGGGCATATGCCAGTAGTCAGAGAGAGGACACATCAGGTATATATATTCACTTCTTTCTAGTAATTTCGTATGCTAAAATTTATTCTGTAATTCTTTCCAGTTAAAAGGCCAATATCTTATGGTGTTTTCATATTGTATGTAGGTCACTTCAACATTTTTGTAGGTGATCTTAGCCCTGAAGTTACAGATGCTACATTGTTTGCTTGCTTCTCTGTTTATCCAAGTTGCTCGTAAGCTTTATTTCTTTTGCTGTTTCTGTATCTGTTTATGTACAGCTTTGATCTGTCAGGTTTAAAACATAACATTTTTGTTGTTGCCAATTTATCTTTCACTGACATTCGCAGAGACGCACGGGTTATGTGGGATCAGAATACTGGGCGTTCAAGGGGGTTTGGGTTTGTTTCTTTCCGGAGTCAGCAGGTACTGAAATGATTTAGTTGATCTTTATGATTGTCTTTCTCACTGTTTCTATGTGTGATATTCTATTTCCACTGGCCCTTCATGTCATGACCTATTCATTTTTCTCTCTTGGACAGGACGCTCAAAGTGCGATAAATGATTTGAATGGTGAGAATATTTTCATTTTAGTTTCTCAGTATCCTTTTTTTGCAGAATTTATATTCTGTGTCTACATATCTGCCTATCGAAAGAGCTAAAAGTGAAAGTGTGGGGCTAAATATTTGTTAGTTGGATGTTATTAATGGGATTTAAAGATGTGCTAAAGGCTAGTTACACAAATTGCAGCCATCCTTAATCAGCCCGAACTATTCTATCCATTATGATACGAGGCTTCGAGCATAGGGCTGTGGTGTGCACTAGGGGATATTACTTATACATTTACAGTGCCATTCATGAGGTTTTAATGCTACTGCCAGTTTCATGATAATGTGAAAAGCAACGGTGGCTAAACATGTCTTGGCCCACATTTAGTAGAAGAAATTAACAAGGACTTGTCAAGATTCAATAATGTATCAAATTATCTAAAGGACAGATAAGAACTTTATACACCTGATTCTAATCATACGTACTAGTCTTATTAGGAAATTTTGAGGTATAGGCTTCCGTAGCTCCGAAGATGGATGATAATATATCACTTGAAAGGGGCCTGGAAAGTCAGATTAAGAAGCATTTTTTTTATGGGATTAACTTGAATGAGTATTATCATGTTAATTGTTGAACAACTATTATACTTTCTTTCCTTCTTTCTTTCTAGCTCACCATAGTTACTTTTTAATTACTCTTGTAAATTGAAATTCTTCTGATTCTTCTGATTTAAAAATTATAGGAAAGTGGCTTGGGAGCAAACAAATCCGATGCAACTGGGCGACAAAGGGTGCTGCTTCTAATGATGAGAAGCAGAGTTCGGATGCCAAAAGTGTTGTGGAACTTACCAACGGAACATCAGGTTGATGATTAATGAAATTGTAATTATAATTTATTGTGGATAATCAAATTGTTGTATATGTTGTTCTAAAGATAAATTTGACCTTCTATGAGTATGATTTATTTATTTATTTTTTTCTTTCTTTTGTGTTGGACTAGACTTCTAGTGTTCTTTTTTTCTTCTTTCTGTAGTAAATCATGATCATACTTGTTAATGGTCTTCATCACAAGCATAACATCCAAAATTCTAGCACACTTTGAAATGTGAATTTTGACTATTTGTTTTGTGTTTAATCTCTTCCATTATAATCACAATGTTTTAAGGTGCATTGTAGATTTCAAAGCATGTGTAGAACAGGCACACCTTCCAAGTTCTAGTCTCCTAGAACACTTCTGAACTAAGCGATATTATGTCTTGTGCACATATATACATCCAATGAATTTTTTAAAATACTTAAACTTCATATTTGTTGTACATCTTCCTTTGATATGATATTTACAATTTAAAATATTTTTATCGTAAACCTTACAAGGATAGCATTCTTCTTGTGCAGAAGACGGTCAAGAGAGGTCCAATGATGATGCTCCTGAGAATAATTCTCAGTACACAACTGTATATGTTGGCAATCTTGCTCCAGAGGTGAGGATTTGCCAAACTTATAAACTAATAGCGTAGTATGTTGTCCTTTTGACAGCTGGATATCTTATTGGTATATATGCTGCTTAACTTCTACCGGGTGTTCCAAGCCAGTTATGGGTTGAAGTGAAAGCAGCAAGTTCTTTGTATGGCTGTTCGCACTGGGCTGATCTGTAAACTTAGGATAAGCAATGAATTTTTGGGCCATGTTAAAACTCTAATACCTGTTTGGATGCATTCATGCATATGAACCTGAATAATTGCCCCTTAGACAGTGATTAGGATCAACTTCACTTGGGTACACTCTTGGCACATCACTCCATTCACCACCATTTTTAAGTTTGCCATTTTCTTGAATAATTTAGTACATATGCCTATGAAGCTCGAGTATGGGTGTACGATATGGGTATGTCGATATGGTAAAATAAAAAAAAAAGTAAGGTACGAGTACAGCTGGATATATTTGTAAAAAATAAAATTTCATTTTTAACTTGGAATAATGCAAAAATTAGTTATGGTTTAATTTGTTAAGATCAAATCTACAATTCACATTTAATACTAAAAGTAAAGGTACAAACCAAAAGTAAATATCACTATATTAAATAACTTACAAACTATAACTTAACTTAATTTTAAAATTATGCTAAGCATAAAAATAAAAAATAAATCCAATGAAATTAATTTACCTCTATATTAGAAGAAAATACTGTTTTGACCAAGGTACGGTACGACTTGGGTATATTATTAGGTACGTCAAGGTACGCTAAAAAATAAAGAAAAAATTTAGGTAAGTGTTTCGTATACTCATTACGTATGCAGAAGTACCATACGAAGTAGCAATACCTAGTAAGTACCCGGTATGGGTACGACATGTATGTTGAAGTACCAATGCTTCATAGCTAGTAGCTTCTTGCATTGTTGTCAAATCACAAATTGAATTGTGAATTGTTTTGTTAAAGTAGTGAATCGTGAGTCATATCAAATCATGACTTGCAAGATTTATTTTATTTAATATGATACATAATTCTATATGTTTATATACATATAAAAATACATACAACAGTGTTTAAAATTAAGTAAATTATCAGTATGACTAAATTATATATAGATATATATGTATATACATATAAAATCATGTATAACAATATACCTAATTATTTTCTTCTATATATCATCATAGTTTGGTGAAAAAATGGCGGTGTTTGGGAAGATGAATTTTTGGTTTTTTTTTGATTTTTTTCCACTAAAAGACAAATTAGTTACAAAACCAAAAAAAACAAATCCAAATAAAATATCACATCAAACCCAATATCATTTCACTTTTTCTTTCACAAATATCACATCCAACAACAAAAAAACTCAACTATCTTCCCAAACACAAAAAAAATTTTCTCCAATAATATCCTACAACTAAAAAAACTTACAAAAAAACCTACTTCCCAAACACCCACAATGTTTTTTCATGCATTATGTAAACAAAAATAAAAATAGAACTGAGTCGCAGTGAATTGTAATGAATCGTAGAGAATCCCTATGAATCGTAAATTGAATCATACAATTCACTCAAATTTCGATTCAACAACATAATTTGAATTGTTTTGTTGAAAGTCATATCGAATCGTGAATCTTATGATTCTAACAATCATGGCTACTTGGTATGAATTTTGTTATTGGCTGTCCTTTTATTAAAACAAACAATGGTAGGAAATTATTTTCTTTTGCTTATCTTATCCCCGAACTTTTATCTTTTTGATTGTGGGCAGTCGGTGATGTGGGCAGACCATGGGTCCTCTGGGAATCATGGTAGGCACTAGGATGTCGCTTGAGCAAGAAAGGTGGAGAAGAAGATAGTCCATACAACCTTAGAGTAGAGAGAGAGAGAGAGAGAGAGTGGCAGTGGGAGAGTTGTCCCCAAGCTTGCTGAAGGTGGTTAAGTCTCGTGTATGGAACGAGCCTCTTTTTATACCAGGGTTGGGCCATGAGCACTAGTTCACCCTTACATAGTGGTGTCCCATGCTTTGAAGACAGGTGGCTTACACCCCTTGGCTCAATTGCACCAATGCTCAGGCCTCAGGGGTGTTATGAAGGAGCTGGTTAGGTACCATATCATACACTGTATACGGTGTCACATGACTCGGTCAAGGTCTAGTATGTTCTTGTAGAGGCTTCTTTGTGACTTTGTCTGGCTTAAGACTAGTCAAAGCGGAGCCACCTCAAGGGGGCGAGCCTAGCAACTTTGACGAAACTTAACCTCTAGCTATTAATCCACAATTTCATGGTGATCCCATGATCAATGAACCAACCTGAGAGCTACTGACGGCGTAGGCAAGCTGTAGCATCAGGGTGCAAGTTTGAAGTCAAGTTGTGTCGTGGCAATAGAGTTGGGCATAGCCCGGGTTCGGGCTAGACTTGCACTATTTAGTAAGAATCCGAAGCCCAACCCGACCTAACACCGGCCTTAAAAGAAATTTTAAATCTCAAGCTCATCAACTTGACCCGCTATTTATGGGCTACGGATGTATTTTTTTTAGTCTTGAAGGGCTATTAAATAAATTTGGCCAAATTAATAATTGTTTGAATTTGAGTCTTTTAACAAATGTTTGAAGTTAAGCTTTGAAAGAAGCATATGTGCCCCCCCCCCGCCCGTCTATTGTGGAACTAAATGATATAAAATTAGAAGTAATATTTTATAAATGGGATGGGCGGGGCGGGGCGGGGCGTGGTGGGGTGGTGGAAAAATAAATGGGTTCAAAATCTCAGCCTAGCCCTTTAGCCCAAAATATTTATCCCAAATCTAAAAAGTATTGGGCTGGGTTGGGCAGGGCACCGGCCGGTGCCTACCCCTACCTACCGAGGCATGCAAGTTGACTGGTGAGGAGAGGCAAGTCATTAAGCGGGCGAGGTGCATGGCACCAAGAAGATGTTTGTTGGGTGGGAAGTGAAGTGAATCGGTACCTAGGCAAGTCGCCCATGCAGGGGTAGGATCACAAGTCAACATGAAGCACCTAGGTGGGTGGACTGGATGCAAGGTCCATGCCTTGTGTTTGTGATGTTAACACCCTAGATGATTACATGGCAAGTCACGTGGGAACACATATATGATATATCTACACCTATTTGTTATTATTCTCTCTATTCTGTCACCTGCAAAAGATTATGCAGGTAGGAATGTCAACACAATTTTAACATGAAATACTAATTAACTGAAACATTATATTTTTAGTGTCTCCTCTTGCCACCTTTCCAATGCGTTTGTCTCTTCTGTTATTGCAAGTCACTTTTTTTAAATGCCTAAAGTCGTATATTTTAATCATCCTTCTTTTGCCGGTGTTTCTCACAAACAGTATCGTGAACATTATGTTACAGGTTACTTCAGTTGATCTCCACCGACATTTCCATGCTCTTGGCGCTGGTGTTATTGAAGATGTCCGCATACAGCGAGACAAGGGTTTTGGTTTTATAAGATACAGTACCCATGCTGAAGCAGCTCGGGCTATTCAGATGGGAAATGCCAGGATTCTCTTTGGCAAACCAATCAAGGTAACCTTGGTCTTCGTATACTTTGCTTTTTCATGTAAATGAAAAGGATGAATTTGTATTTGTTGGACCATCAGATGTTTCTTTTGTTAAGACGTTGAAATTGTTGCATTCTCATGACAATGACTAAAATCTTCGACCTTGGGGTCTAATGAAGGAGACTTTTACTACTTGAGTAGCACACAATATATAGTAAATATAGTAAATATTTTGTTTTATTTTTACTTATTTGAATCGCACACACATCGCGTGTGCGTTGAGCTAGTAATATTATAAAGTGAACACCTTTGGTAGTGTTCTGAAATCTTCTCCTCTTATGCTGCCAGGTGTCCATTTTTCTATTTAAAATATTGTTACATTTTTCTATTTGAAACAAAAAAATTAGATGGATGGGAGGAGTGGGGCTTGAACCTTGGACCTAACAAAGAAGACTCTTATCACTTGAATGACAGACAATATCTAGTAAATGTTTTGTTTTATTTTTACTTATTTGAATTGTACACGTATCGCATGTGTCAACCGCTAGTCTATATGATGTGAATAAAAAGGTATAATTGGAGGTCCACAATATTGCCTGCTGATTACTCGCAGAGAGCACATGGGCAGTGGCAATGTCTCTACTAGAATATAGTCAAATTGAGTTCCAATCAATACGTCACATATATCAAATTAAGAATGAGAGCCCCATTTGTACCACCTGTGCCCAATGCAGGACTAGGTCACTGGATGTGTCATTTAACTGCCTTGAACGACGAATTCCATTATTACCTTAGGGAAAAAAAATATGGTGGATCATGCTTGTCCTTGCACATTTATGTTAGAATCCTATTGTTATGGTCTCGTTGATATGTTCTGGTCTAGAAGGGAGTTTAGGTTCTAATGAGTCAAATGTACGACATGAATTTAATTTGTTATGACCAAAAGTGGGGTACGTACTCCAAAACAATCATGGGCATTGTTGTTAAATCACGATTAGTTAAATTGCAAAATGAATTGTGAATCATTTTTCTAAAATACTGAATCGAATCGTAAATTTTAAGATTCTAACAAGTGTGGGGTTCATCTTGGTTTTAATGTGTGCGCTCTTCCATTTGTTCCTTTGTTTTGATCAGTTGACAAGTAAGAGGCTTAATATATGCTGCTGTGAACTAATTGCTTGAATGTCTAATTTATGTTGCAGTGCTCGTGGGGCAGCAAACCTACTCCACTGGGGGCCAGCTCTACCCCTCTACCACCCCCAACCGTTGCACATATGCCGGCTTTTACTGCCACTGACCTCGCAGCCTATGAACGACAACTAGCACTGAGCAAAATGGTTGGTGGGGCACAAGCGCTGATGCATCCGCAGGGTCAGCGAATTGGTGCTGCCGGAGCTAGTCAGGCAATCTATGATGGTGGGTATCCAGGTATAGCCACAACCCAGCCACCCATGTACTACCAGTAATGAATAATTATATAGAATTTCCTGTCATGGTCATAGCTTGACGGGCATGAATCAGTACTTTTTAAGTGGGATGTAGGATGTTTGTGTTTTTTTCTTCTTCTTCTGTTTTTCTTAGCTTGTGTCGGTCCCCCTTATATATATACCTGCAGTGTGTATGGATATGGAGCGTGTATTTTCTTTTTGGGGATGACAACTTGAACCGAATCTTGTCTAAATTTTAGTTCCTCATTGGAATGGATGAGTGACTTTGATTTGAATGGGTTTCTAGTTTTTGATTAAAACATTAATTATTGTGTGAATGGGTTATTCTGTGTGTTAAATTTCTATTTCTGTAGACCAAACGATCTTGGATATCTTGTTTTCCTCTTCAGGGGGGCATTTAGTTGTTTGTTGGCGGCAGGTTTGTCCTTTTTGAAGTATTGTTGGGTGTCAAGGTATCCTTCTGGCAGACACAAATTTGAGGGGACGGTGCTTTATTGCAAAAGATAATTTTATCTTCTCTTTTGACGCACTGTTTCTTTTGACAAAAAAATATTTTTCAAAAAATATTTTTTAATGTTTGGTTGCAACTTTAAAACTAATTTGTTTAGTAGTTGTTTTGTTGTAATGGTGGTGGTGGTTTGGTTGGGTGGAGTGGTGGGAGTGATGATGGTGGTAGTAGAGTAGAGGTGGTGGTGGTGGTGGTGGAGGTAGTAGCGTGGTAATGTTGGTTTTGAGTTGAATTTGGGAAATGTGTTAAGTCTAAATATATTTGTTTTTGTGCTTTCTGGTGATTTTTATTTCTTATCATACTAAATGTAAAAAAATATTAAAAAAATTGATTTAGAAAATGATTTCTAGCGTTGTTACTAAGACTAATTTGAAAAATATTTTCAGTTCCAATAACCTTGTTTTCATGGTTGATCATTAATTTGAACCATTTGTCTCGTAAATTTTGTGGTGAAGACTTTATACAAAAAATTAAATTTGTTAGATATTGATGAATAGATAAACAAAACACAAGGATGGTTTAAATTTAAATTCATAATTGATGTTTATTTTTAAAAATAAAATGTAATTTTTTTGTGTTCAGTGATATTTGATGAAATTAATTTTTTGTGAGGGTTTTTTTTTTATTTTTTTATTTTATTTTAATGGCTCCATTTTCCTCTTCAGGGGGGCATTTAGTTGTTTGTTGGCGGCAGGTTTGTCCTTTTTGAAGTATTGTTGGGTGTCAAGGTATCCTTCTGGCAGACACAAATTTGAGGGGACGGTGCTTTATTGCAAAAGATAATTTTATCTTCTCTTTTGACGCACTGTTTCTTTTGACAAAAAAATATTTTTCAAAAAATATTTTTTAATGTTTGGTTGCAACTTTAAAACTAATTTGTTTAGTAGTTGTTTTGTTGTAATGGTGGTGGTGGTTTGGTTGGGTGGAGTGGTGGGAGTGATGATGGTGGCAGTAGAGTAGAGGTGGTGGTGGTGGTGGTGGTGGAGGTAGTAGTAGTGTGGTAATGTTGGTTTTGAGTTGAATTTGGGAAATGTGTCAAGTCTAAATATATTTGTTTTTGTGCTTTCTGGTGATTTTTATTTCTCATCATACTAAATGTAAAAAAATATTAAAAAAATTGATTTAGAAAATGATTTCTAGCGTTGTTACTAAGACTAATTTGAAAAATATTTTTAGTTCCAATAACCTTGTTTTCATGGTTAATCATTAATTTGAACCATTTGTCTCGTAAATTTTGTGGTGAAGACTTTATACAAAAAATTAAATTTGTTAGATATTGATGAATAGATAAACAAAACACAAAAGGATGGTTTAAATTTAAATTCATAATTGATGTTTATTTTTAAAAATAAAATGTAATTTTTTTGTGTTCAGTGATATTTGATGAAATTAATTTTTTGTGAGGGTTTTTTTTTTATTTTTTTATTTTATTTTAATGGCTCGAATCATTATGGAGGAGAGTCATTCTCAATTAGAATTTCCATTCTGGGGTTAGATTAGATCAAATGGGATCTATAGGAATAAATTTAGTGCAAATTGATTGGCTTCTCGTAATATTGTTGCTGCATTGCCGTTAATTGCCAGGGTCCGTCCACTCAATTCTAGCACCGACTTCAAACAAACAACTAAGATATGATAATGTTTGATTTATTGAATTTTTTTTTATAATAAAATGATTATTTTATTAAAATATTTATTTAAATTAAACAGAATAAAAAATAGACTATAAATTTATTGGAAAGTGTCATTCTATTTTTGCTCAAGTTCATTTGACTAAACAGAACACCACCCAACTAAATGTGAATGGCAGCCTAGTCTTTATATTGAATTTGTGAGCCGAAAACAAATGAATGGAACAATGAATGAAATATCTAAGTTAATTTTTTTTTTTTTTTTTCCCCTTCCCATTGAGGCCAAATCTAAACCTGTGCTCAAGAGATAGCTGTCCATACACTGATAAGGGATATATGGATTCTTGAGAAGAGAGGAGTCGAGGTGGTTCCCCAAATTGGCTGGATCCTTTTAAGAAATTTCGCTACCTTAGGACCTTTATAGTTATGGCCACCGTTCACTGGGCTTCGGTCGCCAGCTCCCGTTGGAATAATTTTGGGCAAAAATGGGAGTGAGAGTGAGAGTGGAAGTTGAGATTTCTGAAGAATACGATATTATTTGATGGCAGGTTATATAATCTTTTTATTTTATAGTTTTACTTCATCTATATACTTCTCTCAATCAATAGCAGCCACAAATACAATTCTCAATCAACAATGATTTTGACAATCAACCAACCAACAAATACGTAGCCGAAGTGACTTACAATCTCTCTCACTCAATGAAATGAGATGAAACAAATTAATGAACTTTTTTATTGATTCAAGGCACTGCAAAGTCAAGTTCAATCAAAGGCAACGAGAGCTTATTTTTGTTGATGCAGAGTCATTCTATTCAAATTTAGCTATGCTAATGGGACGGAAAAAAATTTCAGATGATATGGATGCCAAGAGACAAGCAAAAACCTCCAATTACTTGGGATTTTTTCTTCCACACATTTTATATCATTATTATTATTATTATAAATAAATAATAATAATAATGAAGCAACGACAAACATAAGTAATGATACTACTGAGCAGTTGGGAATTGTAATATAACGATTGAGAGAGATTAAAATACAGAGGATGCAATGGGTAATTAATGGTTTAAATTAGTTTCCAATTACTTCAAATTTATTTTCTTCTTTAATTTGTAGACCTTTTAACCTTTCAAAGTGTGGTAGCTCCAAGATCTTGCAATTTCATTGTTGGAGCTTTGGAAATTGACGGACACACCAATTGAAGAGCAACAAATGTTTCAGGGTGTTACTTGTAACATAGCTGCTTCAGAACATGATATAATAGAGCCCAACATGCTTTCTTTGCATGTTATCAGAATCTCCATATTTATTTGAGTATAATCGATGTGGATCGTGTAAAAAATTCGTTATATAAGTAAGATCTTTCGATCCATTATCCTCATAATGGGATCTTATAAGATCATGAAATCTCGATCCGAATCCGATCTTATCTGATCCAATTTACAAGTCTTGTTTTGTATTGTATGACATATTTTATTGTAAATTTTATATTTGTTGTCTAAATTCCAATTTAAGTAGTATTGAATCAAATAGACTAAGAAAAATAAATTAGGAAACAAATATTCAAATATTGCGGTAATTTAAGAAAATTAATTAGTTGGAAAAAAAACTTAGCTTTAGCGGAATCTAAGGAGGGTAAGATGATTACAACGTTATCCCAATTTTTGGAGAGATTATTTTTGTGACTCGAATCCGCTCCACCAGGGATGCTAATGACAAATCTTATCAATCGGTTAAGCTGCTCTTTTGAGTTCTTAATCTATTGTCATATTTAACTTTATTAAATATTTTTTCTTCACTTTTTATGCATTATTGTAGATTGTAAAGTATTTTGTTATAGAATTCTTCTTCTTCACCTTCCTTTTTGATGAAATACAAAATTTTTACCATCGAGTTTTCTATTGTATAATATTATATGTACATTTTACATGCAGTATTATATTTTTCACAATATCTTCACTTCTTTCTAATAGAATATAAGCTCATTTTGTATATACTTTTTAAGAAATATTTATTTAAATTAAATTATTATGTAATTTGTCTTTTTTGGTAAGATGTTACGATTCTCGATCCGGTTCTACAATCCAATCCTATAAACACCTCCAACGATTGAACGTCGGATCCCGATTTTAACAGCCTTATTTCTTTGGACTCCATCAATAATCTGTCCTATTGATTTTGAACACTGACCTGATGTTTTTTTACTTCTCACGGTAATTATGTTTCCAATGATCAAAGACATTTTTCTTTTTGAGGCAGAAGTTTGTTGGCTGTAAGAGTTGAAATCGAGCAAAATGAAGGAAATTGTTTTGCAGGAAAGGTCAGAACTGGAGGAGATTTTTCAGAATACACATTTGAATCTAGAATCAGATAGTGCATTGGAAATTGCCATTGAAGCTGTTGAGTCAAGTATTTAATTTGTTGTAAGAGAAGTATCATTGTCTAATATCTTTGTAATGTCTTTTAATTTTATGCATCTAATTTTTGGATTCAGAGGCTGTGGACCTTGCTTTTGTCCTCGAACAAATTAAGCTTCAAATAGCTAAAGTGAAAGAGGAAGTGGTTGGTTGCATGTGAGGAGTGTTGGCTTCACCAGTATAACATGGTTGGGTTGGGGTGTTTTATTTGTACTTGTATTTTCTATTTGGGCAAATTACACTTTTCACCCTTTAGTTTGATACAATTTTCACTTTGGTCTTTATTGTTTTAATTTGAACAGTTTGGTCCCTATACTTCAAGTTTAGTTTTATTTGATTATTCCATTCAAATTTTCGTTAATTCTTCTACGTGTATACCTGAAAAGTTTAACAAGTATACCAAAATTATTAATTTTAACATCCAACTTGAATGGAAGGACCAAATTGAAATTAGATTTGAATTGTAGGGATTAAACTGTTTAATTTGAAACAATAATGATCAAAGTAAAATTTGGGTCATACTAAAGGAGTAAAAGGTGTAATTTGCCCTTTCTATTTCATTACTTTTGCATGAACATCCTTGTATCACCCTAATGTTTGTGTAGAATGAAAATCGAAACAATGTTGGAAGAGATACTCATTTTACTTTAAAGCGTGCTGAGAAAGCTCGAGCTTTAGCCAACCAACTTCCATGTACACATTGCATTATGTCGCTTGGTAGCCATTTTTTGCTAGAATTCTCAAATAGAGAATTTGGAAGCTAAGTTCAATACTGGGTCATTTTTTTGTTCTTGCGTTTGTCAAAGTTCATTTTTTTTGGAACTAATGTCAAAGTTCAGTTTGATCTGATATTATGTGCTTATTAATTTTGTGTTGTGTTGATACAAGAATGGTGGAGGCAGTGGCTTCGAAAACCGCATCATGGGAAAGCGAGAGAGGCATTGAGTTCGCTTATGACGGTATAAGTGTATCCTCATTTTGTAAAAACAAAAAAGATTTGATTTTCGAACAAGTAGGTTTCAATTACCATATATTCTGTTTATTTCCTCTCTTCAAGCAAACTTGTGTGCCTTTCCATATTTGTCTTCTTTTTGAGCTTGAAGAGTATACCATTTCACAGCAAGAGAAAGCACAAGAGGCAGAGGATATGTATGGACTTATTATTTTACTCTAAGCATGGACTCACTTGGGTATTTCTTATCCAAATTGTGTAGTTGTGGCATGTGCAAAAATATTGATCTATTTCAGAACCAGAAGAAACTTCAGGGGCATTTAATGGCAGAATGTTCAAAACCAAGTAGTCCTATGAAGCTCCAAGATGGGAAAAAGGATCTTAAATTTTCACAGATCAACAAACGACTTACTATTGGAGGAAAAGTTGATCCTAATACACCATGACAAGCCAAGAAGCGTGATCGTTTGCTCCCAAATGACTAGTTAAATCAAACCCAGGATGATGAATCTGTAACTTCATCAGATGGTAATTTTCTTCAAACTACACCCTTTTTTGTCTTTCACATTTTTATTTGTTTCTATTTTTTCTATTCTTTGGGGTTAAGACGGCAAGTTGGCAAATTTCCGAAGAAGTTACATTCACGAAAGACTCTTGAAATAGTTTTGTAAAATCCTTTTACCAGTAAAAGAGTGATAAACAAAAATATTTCTTACAGGCCAACCTTATAAAAGTAATGTTTTTTTAGTTCTTCGAATTTATATTTTTAACATATGCTGCTTTTAGGCTCTTGATAAAAATAAATAATAATTTTATGACAACAATGTGTCCTACTCTTCGTATAAAAAGATTACTTTCACATTGATTTTTCATTTCATCATCTTAGGTAAGGGAGGCTAGGATATTGCTGACACACCACGCTCTAAAGAGGAGCACTGTTTGAATGCAGTAAACGCTCATGAAGTAAAGTCGCCCATGAAGTGAAAACCCTTCTAACTTGTCTTTTCCAAAGAATCATCCTAGTCCAACACAACAAACGAAACAGAAGATTTGAATATAAATCAAAATGACACATCACAAAAGAATACACTTTGAAGCAATAATACAAAATTTTCCATTCCTCCCGTTAAAATTTTTGCTGTAGAAGAAGAAGATTGGTAGTGTTTGGCATCGGGTTTGGCAAGCTATTTTAGCCTCAAATTAAAAAAAAGCCATGTAGCCTTTACTGTGGCTGAGGAAGAGACCTTCAGGCCAGCTGAATGTCATTAACTGGGTAAGAAGACCTTTTTACACTTCGTTGCTCATATCCACAAACCCAAAAAACCTACAATTTCAAAGGCCTTTCGTTTCTCTCATCTTATATCATCTCTACTATTAGAATTAATGTATAGGGAAAGAGAAGAGAGAGTGAATAAATGAAATAATGTACATATTTATGTATTGAATGTTATATGAATAAAGAGGTACACTCTCCGTTATATAGGAGAGAACATTACAAACATCATCATGCCAAAAGTGGATCCACTAACCGAAAGTAAATGCACTAATCTAAAGTCTAAAACACTAACATAAAATATATTAACAGCCCCCTCAAACTCAAGGAGGATAGGTACTAACCAACTTGAGTTTGGAGGGAGTAACAAAACAGGAAAGTAAACTGATAAATAAAATAAAATAGGATAGGAGACACTGTATGGTTGTGTCAAATCGTTGTTGAAGACACGGTATGGTCGTGTCACACCGTTGGAGAAGACACTGTATGGTCGTGTCGGACCGTTGTAGTAGGACAGTTTACGAGATCATGCCGGACCGATGTAGAAGCTAACCGGAATCAATGTTGGGACAGTTTACGGGGTCATGGCGGACCGTTGTAGGAGCTAACCGGAATCAATGTCGGGACAGTTTACGGGGTCATGCCGGACCGTTGTAAAAGCTGATCGGAATCAATGTCGGGACAGTTTACGGGGTCATGTCGGACTGATGTAGATGACACTGTATGATTGTGGATATAGGCTACCCAAAAGATATACATGTATATATATATCGAGCCCTTAAAAGGCGCGCCCACTGCATCAAAAGCCGTGCCCGACAGAAATCGTCGAGCGGCGAGCCATCAAAAGGTGCGCCGGACACGCGGTGATGGCACGTGACTGACAGAGTGTCGTGTCGTCCGCGTCGTCATTGGCTATATAAACCGAGGCGGAGGCTGTGCAAACCAAACAAGTCTGAAACCGCTGAACATCGTCGTTCTGAAACACTCTGCAACCAACCCTTGCTGACATTACCAGTTTGAAATCGCTGCTGCTCGGAAACACTCAACAACCCAAAACATGGCCTCTTCTTCCCGTGGTCTGCTCACTCTCTTTCCAGACTTCAACGAGTCCACAAGAGAGATAACTAGTGCGGTTGCCCTGGAACCTCAACCAAGCGCCCCTGGTTTTGCTCCGTTGACCTTTCTTATGTGGTCTGTGGAGCAAATAATGGCAGCGCAATCAGATATTGAGGCCAATCAGTATACATTGAAGTCATGTGTGGAGACCATGACGGCAGTCACAAACTTGTCGCACCATCTTCAGAGTAGGACAAATGAGGTGCAGCAGTTAAACGCCCAACTGGCTCTGCTCCAGCGCATGTATAAGGATGCGCGAGCAGAGATATGTGTGCTAAAAGCGGAAAACAAGGAGTTGAAGCGGAAGGCCACCGTTATGTTCCGATTTGGAGGGCCACCATATGCTGCAGTGGAGGAGCAGGGGGGAGGGAACGGGCTCGGCGGCGTGAGAAATACGGAGGCAACACCGTCAAGGGCCGTCCAGGACGGAGGCAAGAATAAGAGACCGGCGGCAGAGTAGAGAAGGGATAAGAAAAAAATCCCGCCTGTGGGTGGGTGTTTGTGTGGTTTTTTTTTTTTTTTTGTTTTGTGTTTTTGTTTTGTGTTTTTGTTTTTGTGTAACTCTCTGGTGAGAACGCGATGGAAGTAGATTCCTGAGATGAATAAAACAAGGTTTGGAGTGCAAATCTATATGGTATGAATGGAATTTGAAAAAGATTAAAAATAATGTGAAAGAAAAATAAAGAAAGAAATAATAAGAAAATATGTGAAATCAAAATGAAAGAGTGGGAAAATAAGGAAAGTGGGTCACGTGGTTTCGGAGCCCACGGTTTTGTTAAATCCAGGAATGGTGTTTGAAGTATTTGTTTTTTTTTTGGTTTTTTTGTGTTAAGAATAATAATAATAATAATAATAA